GCGCTCCGCGAGCGAAACTTTTTCTCCAGCCTCCGCCTTCCCTCGCCACGCCTCGCCTCTCCTCGCCTCGCCGCTCCTCGTTTCTCCGCTCCGAGATCCTCCTGCCAAACCGGTATAAACTTTAAGCATGAGATACGACTTGGACCGTTTTTACACGGACCACGATCGCGTCCCGCGATCCTTCGTTATTACGAACTTTTGGCAGAAATAACCGACCGATCTCTATCCTGATTTTCGGCCGTGGCGAACGCTCGATTCGCACCAGCCGCGCTCTTTCGAGCGTCGCTAACGAATTCGCGAGAGAAGCTCGATTTCTTCGTCGCCTTCGTACGATCGCCCAACGTCCACCGCTTCGTCGCTACTTTCTGCTCTCGAAGAGCAAACAGGATAGGACTCTTCGTTGCAAAGTCGACCGCCATTCCTTCCACCGGCGTTTAATCTCATCGGTTTCTCCGACTTTTCTTTGGACACGCGTCCGAAATTTTTGCCAGATTTTCCTCTACCCTTGGCCGCTCGAAGAACGCTGCTGGTCCCTGCGAGATGTTAACGCCATCAACGACGTTACTCGTACAAAGCTCGCGATGTAATTTCTTGCATGTCGGTCGCGCGAGAATTAACGAAACGCAATTACCAAATCCCCCGCCCCTACCGCGTTCCTTTCTCCGGGCGATCTGTACACGACCATCCTCTGTGGCTTTCCGAATTCCCCTGTGTTTTCCACTTTTCGACCGCGTTTCTCAACTCTTCCCTCTCGCCAACTCGCCGGGATTTAATGAAAACGAGCGAACGATCGCTTTTGATGGCGGAAAGTCGGAAACTTGTTTCTCTCGTTCGGGTCTTGTTATCCGTAATGCAGCCGAGGCTTTAACGAACGCGCTCGTCGTTGATCCTTCGGACGAAACGCAATTCAGCATCGTTGTAATTTGTAAACTACGCGTTCCGCGAGTTGGATTCAATTGCTCGCGAAGTAGTCGCTCCGTGTTCTCTCGCCGTGTACAGTGACTGCATCGAAATCGCGTCCACTCGGTCCCTTCGATATTCAACGAGACCTGATCTCTCGGTCTACGTACGTCGGTTTCGAAGAAAGATCAGCGGCTCGGCATTTTGGCGCAGAATCCCGGTTTGCGGTTGTTTATCGCGCGACTCTTTCATGGTCGATCATAAATTATCATTGGGCAACCGTGGGCGCGGCAGGTGCTTTTGATGCGCTCTGCAACCCGTTCTAAATAAATATACATCTAGCTATCTGAATTGTAGTCGAGGGAAGTTGCATCTATGAAAAGGCTTGGAAACCATCTCGGTCGGTCGAATGGTTAAAATCATTTTTCAAAATCACCCTGATCTTTGGAAATTTCTTTCTCTCTTTCGGAGAGAGATTTCTCGTGCAACTCGTCGTACGCGTAAAACGGGCTTTCCTCGAATTCGGTGGAGATTTTTTTCTAGCATTTTGTACAACGTTGTTCTCGCCGAAACTTTATGAAATTCGTTCGGAATCGTAGCCAAAAGCGGTCGGAATATTTAAAAATCGATCGATCGTCGCGCACGGCCGGGATTGCGCTCGATTAATGCACCAGCTTCCAACTATTTCGTTATGATAATCGTCACGTGTTCGGCCACAATGCGACCCGAGTGGATAGCAATAATCTGGAACGAGCGATTCGATCAAAAATTATCGACGGTTCGCCGATGGAATAATATTTACCTTAAATTGCATCGCACATATCCCTGCCTCGCAGTTTTCATCGCAGAGCCGATAGATTAACGCGTTCGTGTTCTCGTTCGTCGACGGTACGAATTTTCGAGCCATCCGAAGCTTTTGCCTTCTCTGTTCAACCAGCCGGCCATGCCCTCTCGACATCGTTTCCCCTTTTCCACGATAATCTTTCATTTTGCGATCGCGCGAGGACATTTTTTTCGCCGCATGCGGCAAGCTCGTCGCGTTTCAATTCGATTGGACTCGATTCGATGCGATGCGATTCGATTCGATCCGATTCGATTCGATTCGATTCGATTCGACTCGACTCGATTCGATTCGATTCGTTTCGATCCGATTCGGTCAGATTCGATTCGGTCGTGGATACGTCGCCGGTTACGAGACCATCAACGATCGATCGTGAATCGCGCCACACAGACTGTACGTGTCAACGCATTCGCTACGCGCAGAGATCACCGCTTTTTCGTCAGATCATCGTGTCAGTTAAATCGCTGTGCGCGTATTTACCGCTTCGTCGAATGTTCTTCCAGGTGCGTCGTGCGTTTGGTAGCAATCGCAAACCGTTCGTCGATAAAGACAGACGCATCGTGGCGAAGAATCGTGCAGCAACCAAGAACGTCCTTTCGAGCATCCAGACAGACTTTCGTCCGGTCCGTCTCGGGCGATTCGTTCGTTTGCTGCAATTTGTTTTGAGAGCGAAGATTCAGGGGCAATCGGGAGATCGAAAAAGTCGAAACGTTTCCGTTAGGGACCGGCGCGGCAATCCATGGAAGAGTGGCCATAAACGATCCGTGCGATCGCAAAGTTTCGAGACCAATTTAATACTTGGCCGGTAGTCTCGCTCCAGATAGCACGCCTCTTGGTCTGGTCCTTCTGTTTCCAGCGGGACGGCGCGTCGTTGTTACAGCGAAGGCTGGGCCGGGAGAAACTGCCAGCAACGAACAAAGAAGAGGCGCACAACCGTATCCATCCATCTTGAAACGACCGTCTCTTTATCGCCGGGTAAAAGCGTGTCGAGCCGGCTCGAAATTTCCATTCACGTGTTAAACCCGCTAATTCTGAGCCGCGTGTTTCGGGACGACACGCGACGCGTTCACGCTATTTGTCCGCTCGATTCGGGCGCCGCTCGATTTCCTGCGATAGCAAATTTCGTTTATCGAGTTTACACGAGTTTTCATCCTATCGATTCTACGAATGCCCGGAATAACGTTCTTTTTTTTCTTCTTTTTTTCCACTTCTTTTTTCTCTCTCTCATATTTTGTCTTTTTTCCCTTTCGCTTTTCATACGTATGTTTCTCGTCGAACGGCGCGTCCGAACGAAAAGTTTGATCTGTCACGAACCGATGCGATCCGCTGATCGTAAATGCGATCTAATCCGATCCGGTATCAATCCTCTCTTTTCCTTCGATCGGTCGAAAACTACGTATAATCTTCGACCCTTCGATAAATCGCCCAGTCTTGCCTGACGACCGGCGAATTCTTTCAAAGACGTTCCACGATACGGCGGAACCTCTCTATCTGCGTTCGGCATGTTAACTCGGGCAGCAACGGTGGGCATCGAAACAGCCCGAAGGAACTACTCGACTCTAATCAAAGGCTTGCCTCGATCTTGTGCTCGCAGGTCCGCCGACGATCCTGGTGAGGCCACAATCGCAGCAGGTGAAGGCAGGAGGGATAGCGAGCTTCTACTGCACGGCAGAAGGTGCGCCGCCACCCCAGATCCACTGGCGGAAAAACGGAAAGAGAGTTTCCCGTAAGTATTCGCGTTTTCGTTTGGTCGTCTGCTAGTTTTTCAAAGTTTCGAGAAGTCGTTTCTCGTCTACCGACCGCGTTGCTGTTCCGCGGATCATCTAAACGCCAGAGATGTTAATCGTATCGACGATATCGAGTCTATCGCCTCTTGGCTCTTTTCGGTCTCCTGTTCCGATTCCGCGTGCAAATCCGGTTTCTCTTTCGTAACTATCTCACGATTTCGTACTGTATTTTTCGTTTCCGCTTTTGTTTTCTTTTCCGTTCGTATCATCTTGCCAGCGACGTTGTTCTCGTCCGATACGTCGCGTCACGTAGACTCGACGACATTGCCGCCCTTTTCTTTTTAACTAAATTTCGCGCTCGCTCGGTTTCCGGAAACACCGGCTGTTGCCGACCGGTGTGCCACTGCAGCCGGACTCTTCGTTACATCCAGAGTTTCCAGAGACCGACCGGATTGCCGAATCTTCCAGCGTACAACTCGAGGTACTAACTGAAATAGACGTCGCTTCTTTCAAGCAGAAAGCCTCGCGCGCCCTTTGGATTTGCCAAACTGATTTCCGGTTCGGGCAATCTTGTCGCGTAAGACTTTGACTACATAGAATATATCCTATAGATATATAAATTGAAGCAATCTTAAACAACGATCCACCAACTAATAGCAGACTTCTTTCTTACAATTTCATAATCTTTGCCAAATAGGTTGACCAGGTAACTCGCGATTGACCGCGTATCTTCTATTTATCGTCGCTACTTGTCGCTATCGCTGAAGAACGTTTATCGGTAACGAGACGGTAGCTTGCGAATCGTAAGATTTCGCTGGCAATATTAGCTGGATCGTTTATGCGCAACGAGAGTCCGAAGACCGAGTTTGGCTTGGCGCGTCGCTCGTTACCACCAGTCGGACGAATAGAAATCGGAATAGGAATCGGAACCGGATCCTGTCGAGGAAGAGTGCGCGGTCCAACTAACCGTTGGAAATTTGCAACGCCGCGAAAAATCGCGCCGGTTAACGGAGAATAGACGCTTTTATCCTCGGCTCGTCGATTGTTCTCGATTTCGAGCTGGTTCGCGGCTCCGAAATTCGCTAATCCAGCGAAACGGAGATAACGACGCGTAACAAAGTTGGTGGTGATCGCGTGAAACGCGCGCGAGGAGCCAGCACGAATCGAACCGATCGACCGCCCACGGATACCTTTCTGTCTCATTTGCTTCGCCTCGTTTCCATCCTGGTGATCGACTCTTCTAACAACCTTCGTCCTTCGCGTTCTTCTTATCCTTTTTATTTCCCCTCGTTTTTAACGATCGGCTGGCTGCTCGCAAGATTCCCGTCGCGGCCTTGGCATTTTACTCGCTGTGCAACGTAAAGAAAGAAACTTGAAATTAATACAATTTGATCGCAGATTCGATTTGATCGCGCGCGCGAAGTTATTAAATTACTCGACCTGCGAGTGTAAATCATAGACACGCCGAATGCGTGTGCACGAGCCTCGAGATTTAGAAAAGTCGTTTCTTTCGTTGTACGAACACGGCCGTGTCATACGCGAGATCGAGAAGACTCGGCTCGAAATCGGTTGAGCCGATCGACCTCGTGGCCAATCCTAACGATCGTTCACCCCGATGTTTCGCGTTATTCCGTAGAATCCCAGTCACGGTACCTGGTGCACAACTATGAAAACGGAGCTTTATTGCGGATCGAACCTGTCAGGCCGGTTCGCGACAACACCCTGTACGAGTGTCTAGCGGAGAACGGAGTCGGGGACGCCGTGTCAGCCGAGGCGCAGCTTAGAGTCTACGAAGGTATGTAAAGTTGCTTTTAAATTTACATCGACGATTGTTCGACGCTCTCGTCGATCGTCTATGGCGTGCGTCAACTACTAAGCTTCGCGGTTCAACGGAGAAGTTTCGGTTCAGCGTTACATGGCGACATCGTCGTACGGCTATTAACGTTAGCCTGAAGGCAAACGGCGTAGTCGAAATTTAATATTTAACGAAAGGCTGCTAGGAACAGCTGGCGCCGCCGTGGCGCAAGCTCGATCGCTGCAAAGTTTTCAGCGGTGTGGATAGATTTTGCGCAGCGGACGGAAGCTGCTCTAGAGACTCGGGATTTTTCGAAAGGTGGGAAAACAGATGCCGGACGCGAAGAAGAGCAGGAAAAAGGACGATCGAAATACTCGGAGGAGACTGGAGGAAACAACACGGCTATATAACGAGCCAAATTCCGTTGAAATTAAGCGAAGCCTTTCTTCTTCCACGGTTGGGTCCAACCACGCGATCTCTCTTTCTCTTTCTATTTATACGGAAGAGCGAACAGCTTAATGGCGCCCAGTTCGGCGACCAGGCGGAAGGCGACGTAATAGAAAAAAAAGCGACTGCCGCGCACCTGCAAAGCTTACCCTTTTCCGGGAAGAATCTCTTAAACTTTCGCGAAACGCCTTAATTGGCTTGGCCAGCTTTTTAATTCGATTCCAACTTCACCTCGCGGATATTTTTGCTGGCAGTTTCTCTCGTATTCTTCCTCTGGGGGAGAAGGAAAAAAAAGGGGGAAAAAGAGGGGGAAAAGAAAAAGTACCGTCCGTTGTGAGAAACCGTTCCGAAGCTTCTCTCCTTCCTCGATTCACGTTTCATTTCTAACCTTCCACCGCAATCATTCTCCCTTCGCCGTCTCTCCGCATTTGCGTTACCGACCGCGATTCGACGCTCGAAATTCATTGGAATTTTTTGTTTCTCTCCTTCCTTTTCCTTTTTTTTTTTTTTTTTGTCTCTCTTTCAACCGTCGATTTCCAACTATTTCGTGTCAATGCCGTTGCCACCGGGCACCATGCAAGCCGTCGTCAATCGCTGGATATTCGTCCGGATCTCTCAAATTCGGCCGTGATTTCGATTTGTTACGAAGTTGATTCGACCGGATGATCGCTTTCCCAATGGTGCGATAATACGTGTCTGTTCCTTTATTTGTCGCTAGCTGTAGTCATTAGGCGAGAGAAGTACATCGTCGAAAGAACCGTTTGCAGCGTAAAATAGATATCGATTCTAAAGTCAAATAAAAAGTGAATATTAATCTCGTTAAGTTTCTTCGTTCATCCTCGGCCAATACTGTCGTACTTCTCTACCGTTGAAGGATACTTTAAATTCCAGGAAAAAAACGTGATTTCTCGTTCTTAGATCACTTTCACTCTCTTTCTTTGAAACGTAAACCCTTTCTGTTTGCTAAAACACGAAGAAAATTTGGTTACGCAGCGATCCACGCTTGTCTCGTATGTACCGAAATGGATTAGAAGCTGAGATCGAGCATCGAACATTTCAAGTTTCCGAAATTGTCGAATGTTCGCCGCAACGTACGATCGTTCCCCGTCGGTGAGATTTCGCCTGGCCGACACGATTTTTTCCACTGGCCGCAGGTTCTCTGATTAAACAGCGCGCAACTTTCGAACAAAGAAAGACAAAAGCCGGTGTAAGTTGCATTTGCAGACGTTAAACGGATATCAGCGCTAAGGCACAGTTGCTAATTGTAAAGCGACAGAGTACACGACGGAGGTGGCTGCGGACTAAGCATCTTTTTCCCCGTGGAGGAGTCGCACGCGATCAATCACCGTGGTGCGCGGAGCCCACGCGAAGAACTCTCCCCTTTTTGCCAGTTTTTCTTGCCGGCTCGCTTACGCGAGATCCATGGCCGTGTTTTTGTTTTTGTTGCCGGCGCCCGCTCCCACTTTCGTGGACGGGAGAGTTTAAAAGTTGCGCGAATTTTTCTCCACCCGCCCGAATAAA